ACCGGCCTGTTCTTCTGCCTCACTATCTTTGTACTCGGTCTCTATTCTGGCTTTTATGAGTTTTCCATACACTCTGCTCAGCGTATTTGTTACTACAATTCCTCGGTGGTTCTCGCATTTGTTTCTGTCTCCTTTCTCATATATCGTTGTTAAATAGCTTATTTTCCACTCTTCCGGTACTCCTTGTTTATCTATGCATGTTTGAAATAGTTTTGTTAAATGTTTGTAGAGTTTATTGGTCCCACACTTTATCAGTTCTCCATATATTTCTCCTGGGCCTGGAGCCCTACCATTTTTCAAGAAGCCGCAGTGTTTTTTAACTTCTTCTTGCATAACTCGTATTCGTGATCCTGCAGTTTTTATGTTTCGTGTCTGTTCCCTTTCTTCTTTAAACCCGCTGTTCTGTCAGTAATTCTTCAAAGTACTCTTCCTATTGCTGGGGTGTTATTGTATTGATAATATCCTTAGTTTGTGTTTTTCTCATGTTTTTGAGTAATCTCCAACTTTCTGTGTTTCTTTTACCCCCCAGATAAGTATTAATATGCGCACAGTTTCTTTCCCATGACTCGTTCTTTTTGTGTACTATTTTATTCCGTACTCTTGCTTGTGCGTCTTTATATATTTCTTTGTCTCGTGTTTTATTTGAACTTAGATACTGTTGGTATTTCTTCCTTTTATCTTCTATGTCTTTATCTATTTCTTGATCCCACCAATAAGGTGTGGGCCTACTTCCCTTTTTTTCATATTTGCCAAGGGCTTCAAATGCTGCACTGTGAATACTGTCTTTGATATGTTCGTAATGCATTTCAAGGTTTGCGAAGCTCATTCTACTCTGTAATTTTTGATCTAATCTCTTCATGTACAACCCTTTTACGCTTTGCTCTTCTAGAGATTTTAGGTTGTATTTCTTAGGCACAATATCCCACATAACAAAATTGCATCCTTAGAATGTATTGAGAATGTTCTTTTTTTAGGAGGAATGTGCATAGAATGTTCGCTAAAACCTTTGCGAATGTCCTGAGAATGTTCTGAGAAAAGATTGTAGAAATACTGTTTGCAATACCCAAGAACTTCCTGAGAAATCCATTAGGATATTCCTAGAATATACCTATGAGATTCTCAGTACATCCTGAAAAGAATAATTCTTGTTTGATTCTAAAAATATGCTCGATATGTATAGGTATTCTCACATTGAAAGAATGTTTCTATGACATTATAGTTATGTTCTCAAAAGAATATTATACCAAAATGCTTGAAATATTCTTAGAATATATCTACATATATCATTCTCAATATGCATCCTAGACATAACATTCTTGGTTGATTCTAAGGATATACTTGGAATGTTAATTTTCGTTTCCAAATAATGCTCCTTTCAGCCCTTTTATCTAAAGGCAGTGAAAGAGTTGTTGGAAAACTTCTCTGGAAAACACAAGTATTTAACCAAAGCTCCGGTTTCGAGCTTGTTATGCTCTCGTCGAAGCACGCCAACTGAGAGAAACAGGTTCCAAGGTGATTCAAATGCGAGGTAAGATGTAGATCTTTAATAGCACGTGGCTCCCTCACTTGGAAGTCCTACAAAGCAAAAGGAAAAGAATATAGGTACCTATAATATTCTTAGTAGGTTCTAGATAGAGCATTATTGTTTAATTGTTAAATTATGATTTTTGAGTAGGTACTGGAGATAATTAGGTGAACAATATGAAAATATTCTTATCAGGGTAACCTACCTACATAAACTTCTCAGCACAACTTGGTAGGTATCATGTAGGTATATTCCTAATACATTTTTTAGGGTACATTATAATAATGTTCGTATGACAATATTCATAGTTTGTTATATAAAGTAGGTTCTTAGCACAATCTTTCAGGTAGGTGCATAGAAGCAACATTCCTAGTACATAAATAGAATGTTCAAAAATGAATATTTCAATCGAAACAATCTTAGAATATTCATTAAACATTCCTAAAAGAACATTCCAAAAAGCACTTTGAGGGAATATTCTGAGAATATGAATGTTCTTTCATTGTTATGTGGGATTGTCTTCTTGGGTTTTCATTCCGTTTTCTTTTGCGATGTTTCTGCCCGGGATAAAGATTTTTGTTTTTAGGAGGTAATGATCGCTACCACAGGTCGCTCCCCTATATGCTCTCACATCCTGGAATTTTATGTTCGAGCTCTGTTTTGCGATAGTGTAGTCAATAATAGATTTTTGTTGTCTAGTTTCATTTTTCCATGTGTACCTATGTATTTCTTTATGCTGAAAGTAACCGTTTAGGATTTTCTTATACCATATAAAAAGCATAAGCAATTCTTTTGTACTTTTTCAATGCTGTCCATATCAACTTTATCTAAGTACGGTCCGTATAAAACATCACAATAATTCAAATGACTCAGAACAAGAGAATCTGCTAATTTAATTTTTAGTTTTTCATTAATACATTTTCAAAAAGGATACAGCATTTTCAAAGACATGTATGTATGTCCTTTGCAGACAACACCTAACTTGCGGTTTAAAACGTGATTCTGTGTCAAATATAACGCCTACATTTTTTTGTGCCTACATTTAGAAAACTTAGGTTTCCCATTAGAAATATTTATATTTAAATCAGACTGTAAACGCTCCCTATGCTTACCAAAAACCATCACCGATGACTTACCAGGATTAATTCGCAACCCGTGACGATGTGAAAACATCATTAAACTATTCAGATCACTATTTATATTTCTTTCTGCCGTAGAAAATGAGTAGAGTACTTTGAGTGTCATCGGCATAAAAATATGCCGTTACATGTTCCAGACAGGTTATGAAATTATTCGTATCTATAAATTGTAAACAATAGTAGGGGTCATAACATGGGACCCACATTCGACTAATTCTTTTGAGGATTGTCCCGTGCAAGTTTCAACAAATTGCATTCGAACATATAAATAGTTTTTAACAAACTCAATGGCATTATCTGAGAATCCAACAAAATCATCGGTAAGACCCAATATTGTTATTGTACAACTATAGCCCTTTTTAAATCCTGATTGGGTTGATGGTAGAACAGAATATTTTTCTAGAAAGATTCTTATTTGGTTATTTTTTCCAATAGCTTTGAAAGACAGGGTAGAATACTAATAGACCGTAGTTCATTGAAGCAGTTAATATTATTATTTTTATAAGGCTGTAACACGCGCTACCTTTCACTCGTCAGGAAAAACTCCTAAATGACAATAATTGATATTTGCGAGAAAAGGCAAAATCCTAGGACAACACAACCATAACATTTCTATATTTTAAATTGAAGAAGTAATCCATTTCTCAAAGTGGAGGTGAAAGTTTATTTCCAAAATAAAAACTCGAAGTCTTCCTCCACAAACACTTTAATAAATTAAAATTAATAAAAGCCCAACATGTTTCGAGATTATTAGAATCTTATCATCAGGGGCCAATTAGCTCAGAAATCAAACAAAGGGGTGGATATTGCAGGCTGCCAGGTGAAGCTACAAAGAATAAATAAGTTTAGTCATAAGTTTAGAGTAGAAAAATGAAATGAAATTGGGAACATGGGTGTAAAACTGACTTACCATTTTGTAGAGGAAAATTAGTCAAATATTAAAATTAAAAGTTGGGTCGTTAATTAATTAATTTGTAATGAAAATAAAGTAATTGAAGTAAAAGTACATCACCGTCTTCTTTTTTAAATAAATTTCTTTGAAGAATCTTAGATTTTTGAATAATCTTGTTGAGAAGCTCATGACTAAGCAATTAAAGAGTCTCAACAAAATGGCAGTTTCTATATTTATCACGTCCGAACCTTGCCTTGCCTTGAGAGTCCTGTAGGATTCTAGAAAATTCATTGTTTACGGGGACCACGCCTTTTCTGGGAACTCTATTATATTCGTTTCGATGTTTTTCTGAATAGATCCGGAGTGCGTTTTCGATTATAAATTATAGCGCGTAGTAGTAGAGGTGTCTGTCAATGAGTCTAAATAAGAGATTTGTTGAATAATGGCCGTTTCCACCAACTATTTTAGGGAAGCCTTAAGGATAAGTATTCCCTAAACTGACATTTCTCCATGGAAAACTGTCAGTTTAGGGAATACTTATCGTTAAGGCTTCCCTAAAATAGTTGGTGGAAACGGCCATAAGAGTGTGAAAAGTAGGTACCTACCCAATTGCTGACAGGGACCCAAAAGTTTACACATTAGCATAATATTCAAATAAGAACTTAAAGAGGTTATAAGCTAACTGAAATAGCTCATAGTATTTACTGGAGGCATCTGGCATGCTATTATCTGATGTATGGATTTGATATCCACATGTTTTTTTCAAAATGGTGGCAAGTAGTAGTAAACAGGTGCAATTGTTTGAACTTGTTTTCAGATTTCTAGTGAAAATAGTTAAGTAGAACGCGTTTTCATCCCAATTAAAATCCTTTCGAAATTCGAAATCGAAAAGCAAGGACATATTCAACAAATTATTATCTATAACTTTTTCCTCAACAAAATTACTAGTACGTAGACGCCTAACGACTGAAAATTAGGAAAACTAATAAGTACCCTCCATGCCAAAAGTTAATATTCGACAAAGGATTTTTTTTTAAATCGCCTTCATTAGCGAAACCGCAAAATGAAACAAATTACCTAAAATATTTTATAATAACCGATTTTCCATCCGCATTGAAGACCGAGCAGTTAAAGGAACCAAATGAATGAAAAATTAGATGGAAAAAGCGCGCGAAAGATCCTTCACGTTAAAACACAACCAAAATCGATATACAGAAATCTGTACAGCGCGAAAGCCAATGCTATGGCGTGTGACGATAGTATCGTTTCTGGTCTCTAGCTGGCAGCACGTGCTTTTATGTGTTCACTTCACCCAACTCGTTTAAATCGGTAGGCATCAAATCGCAATTTCTATCCTTGTTCCACTTCTATAAAAACCTATAAGAAGACAAAATACAACACACACTTCTTTTGCGAAATGAAATACTTTTTTACATTTTCTAATTTTTGACGTTTATCTTAACCCCATTTTTTTGTTTGTAAATAAATCATTGTTGTTGGGGCCCAAACTGAAAAATGAGCGCAATTCCCTCGGCTATTCCATTAGGAATTACAATCGAAAAGACGAAATATGAGTGCGCCCAGAATATGCCGAAACGCTATCAGCAGAAGGACGAGAATATGTTACGCAAGACTGGTTTGCAGGTGGGGAAAGTCGATTTGTATTACAGCAACAGGACAATGAGGAACGATGCATCTCTTGTGCCCCCTATACGGCAAACCGCTTCCATTTTTAAGCAGCCCGTTACTGTCTACAAGACGCAGGAGAGTAAAGTTAAATCAGGTAATAATTTTGTTACATTTTATTTACCTTAAGTCAAATCAAATTTAGCAGTTTGTTTGAGTTGTGCCTTGTTTTGTTCCATTTTTTTCAGTGGTATACCCTCGGGTATACCTATTTTATTTTAGTAATTAGGCTCTAGTTCAAGTCTTAAGATAAGTAAATAGGTATGTCATAGTCATAACAAGATGATTAATTTTGTATATTCTATATTTTCCCGTATATTTTATTGACTATGTAGGTATTATCCGAGGGGTGTGTCACTTCTGGAATTACATGTACATTTTCTTGATTGTATTGTGGAAGTCACAGGAATTCGCTTAGTAGTCATTGGAAGTTTGGCAGTCAGTTGCGCAATTCCGCGTAGTCACAAGAACTCACTTGGCAGTCACTGGAAGTCGCGCGGTAGTCGCTGGAAGTCGCGCGACATTCATTGGTATTCACGACAATTCTGAGGAGTTTGGTTGCAGCATTCGCAGTCATTTGCCACACGCTTTTGATTGCGTATTTGATTTTTGCAATATTTATATGGAATCCTCAATAGAAACATTTGTTTAGTTGCTTGACATCATATTTGAAACGTAAGTGACGTAGTAAGCAACATGATTTTTTTTACCAGCTTGAGAAAAATGGGTCTTGATATGCCTATTAAAAATTTGAGCAACCTCTTTTTTTTTGTGGGTATTTAGACTATACTAACAGTAACAAAATCACACTCTGGGCATCGTATCCATGGATTTCCCTCTCTTAATACCACAAACCACTGCAATTTGTCTATATTAGCTAGAGATCGTTTTCATTTGATTTCTAAGTCTTCTGAAAGGTCTCCCAAATTAGATAAAAAATTACTAGAACAAGTATGAATTAAATTTTTTATATGCGTTATTGTGGATTGTCCGAGGGATTGTGATTCATTTTCTTGGCTTCCATTAATCCATTATTATGAAAAGATGTAGAGAAATTATTTTCCGAACGCTCATCTGCGTTGAATCTCTGTGCTTAGGCTTCTACAAGTTTTTTCATGTTGCTTACTACGTCACTTACGTTTCAAATATGATGTCAAGCAACTAAACAAATGTTTCTATTGAGGATTCCATATAAATATTGCAAAAATCAAATTCGCGATCAAAAGTGTGTGGCAAATGACTGCGAATGCCGCGACCAAACTCCTGAGAATTGTTGTGAATACCAATGAATGCATATAAAAAATTTAATTCATAGTTGTTCTAGTAATTTTTTATCTAATTTGGGAGACCTTTCAGAAGACTAACACTGGTATTCATAGTCAATCACCAGCGAGTCGCCGTATTTGGTTTAGCACACGGCGACTTGCTGGCGATTGACTATGAATACCAGTGTAAGAAATCAAACGAAAACGATCTCTAGCTAATATAGACAAATTGCAGTGGTTTGTGGTATTAGGAGAGGGAAATCCATGGATACGATGCCCAGAGTGTGATTTTGTTACTGTTAGTATAGTCTAAATACCCACAAATAAAGACGTTGCTCAAATTTTTAATAGGCATAACAAGACCCATTTTTCTCAAGCTAGTGAAAAAAATCACAAAGACCAACAAGGATCCTCAAAAAACCCAAGCATTCTCTCATACCTCCAAAAAAAAAAACTTCATCATCGAGCTCAGTATCAGAGATGCCATCATCATTTGACATTTCCGGTATTATCATCAGTGTTAGGACCTCTTATTATTCTGCCTGGATCATCCAAGGAATCATCTGACCCCTTGATTACAGGAATCAGCCTTGATAACATTGATGAAGATATACTGGAAGTTTCTGAGTTGATTGAAGAGGACTCTTGCAAAGATCTAGAGAAACTAGGTGGGAATCAAAATTTTGTACATAGCAGAACAACTAATGATGAGATGGAAGACAGTTGTTCTGCCTCAAGAAAAACCCTTCCTCATTATCATTCGACACCCAGAGGCACCATTACAACGAACGATCGATTAAAAACACAAAGACTTCTCTCTCTCTTCAATTTTAGAAGACCTTTAATTTCTTTATTAATCAAGATATCCAAAAACAAAAAATACTTTCTATAGGCTGTTTTTCAAGGAGAATCCAGTGGCATGACCAATTTTTCTCCAGATGCCTCCAATTTTGGAATATTGACCAAAGTTTTTGTGTTTTTTGAATGGGACACCCCATATATTATTTTTTTATTGACTAGCTCTTTATTGTGGGCTGATTTCAATGATATAAGGATTTATACCTTTACCTTCTATAGTTTTGGAGAAAAAAAATTAATTCCGTTTTTCCATAGAAAAACAATGAGCTAGAAAGAGATAGGTCATTAAATAAATTATGTGTTGCCTATTTATCATCCCCCATTCATAGTTCAACTATCTCTTTCTAACTCATTGTTTCTTATGGAAAAAACGGATTTTTTTTTTTTTTTCCAAAACTATTGAAGGTAGAGGTATAAAACCTCATATCATTGAAATCAGCTCACAAAGAGCTATTCAATGAGAAAATAATATACGGGGTGTCCCATTTGAAAAAACACAACTTTGGTCAATATTCCAAAATCGGTGGTATCTGGAAAAAAATTGGTCATGCCACTGGATTCTACTTGAAAAACTGCCTTTAGAAAGTATTTTTGTTTTTGGATATCTTGAATAATAAGGAAATTAGAGCGTCTTTTAAAATTGGACAAAATTTGAAAAGTGCCCTGTATTTCCTAAACACATCAAGTTAGCCGTGATTTGTCTTCGCCATTGTTATTTTCCCAAAAAAAGAGCTCGAGAATGTGCTCCCAGATTTTTGATATCTCTGCTGGTTTTTGATATAGCCCATTAAAACATCGAAAGTGGACCACCCTGTACAAGGGTCTGTGGATAGTGGATGGAACTTCTAAAATAAATATTAGTTGTACTAGCGTTTTAGTTATTTCCTGATTTTCTCTAAACACAGTTTTTTTTTTTTAAATTTAAGTATATTTTTCTCGAGAATTTTCTATACAATTGACGAGGGGTTGACCACTCTAGAAAATATGTACATGTATTGCCGCATTATCTCGCATTTTAAGGTAATGCCGGATAATGTGGATAATTCGGCGCATTAATGAACAATGCGGAAAAATGCTGAAAATGTTGAAACATGTGATGCAATTAGATGTAATGTGAAGGTAATGCGATATTATCTGGCATAATGCGGAGAAATGTTCACATTGATCACTTCGGAATTTAATATTAAATAATAATATTACTAATAAAAAACCTAATTATTGACTTTTGGGTGACCATTTGAAAAAAAAACTGCCTACAAGTTATTTTACTGCACTTTATTTGTTGTTACTTCCCAGGATTAAATCTTTCTAATATTTTTATATATCTTAATTTTTTCTTTGTATTTAATATGAAATGGCCCATTTCCAGTCATATTAATAGGCCCATAGAAAATAAAATCATGTTGAACTCTGTAAAATGTTCTCTTTACGAGGCCATATGTAGGTAGCCATTAAAATCATATTTCAAAAATTTAATGGTGAATATTTTTTGTGATTCATCTACACCTAATACTCTGCCAATATACCATGATGACGAGTAGTACACAGCATAATACGTTTCCATTTCTATACAGAGTTCTTCCCGAGGTTCTTCCATTTCATTCCCACTATCACTCACTTCCATTATTTGATCTATTTCGTCGGAGCTTTCTTCGTAAATCACAGTTTCACTCTCTTCAGAAGTTTCACTATTAGACTCGCTGTCACTATACTTGGTTTTAGGTCTTTTTTTGGCTTTATGTATTTTTTTTCTCAATACTCTTTCGCTGGCCTACCTTGTTGCCACGTTTACCTCTAGATCTAAAAAATCTGTCTGTGGATACCTTTCCATTTGTTTGACCAAAAACCCAACATAATGTGGAGTTTTAGTTTACTCTTAATTTTTAATTTCAAAACTCCATCGTGCTGATTAATGCTTTGAATGTCAGTGGCATCCGTTATGTCGGTGGTTTTAATATTTTCAAATAATTTCCCATAACTTTCTAGATCTTCAATTATTTCTGATTCATCTTTTTCGTTCATTTCCAGATTCATTTCATTAGGTGTCGTCTGTCGTCTTCTTAGATGTCTCAAAGGAATTTAAATTTTCGGATTCATCATCCTCAAATTGTTCCGTTGATAAAGGTATTGATTGCCAAGCAGCATAGAAAAGTATATTGTTGTATTAGGAGTAGAAGCTCTACTTTTTTGTGCTGAAGCGGTAGGTTTGCGAGCCGAACGTAGTGAGGCTTGCAATACTGCTGAAGCACAAAAAAGTGCTTCTACTCCGTATGGAACACACTATTTTTTCTCCAAACGAATGGGGTAAGCTCGGGGGCAAGTGTATGGTTGAGCGGCAGTAAAAGTACAAGCGGCACTAAAAGTACTTTTGCTGCCGCTGGCGTTGCCAAGCAGCATAGAATAGTTATTTGTTTTACTAGGCAGAAAAGTACAGGATTTAATGCCGCGGCTGGTGTTTCATAGCCGAGGCTAGGAAACCAGCCGAGGCATTAAATCTGCTTTTCTGCCATGTAAAACATATAATTTTTTCTCCGAATGTTCAAATTCACACATGGACATCTTTTTTATATTTATTTCATTCATTATTTTTATCCAAATAATTAAATTATTTTGAAAATTGTAATTGTCACCATCAATTTCAAATACCAAATTGAGGGAAATTATTACCTGGAACGTTGTGACACTGTCACTTTTAATGCCTAAGCAGTAAAAGTCCACTTTTACTGCCTAGGCAGTAAAAATACAACTTTTGTTCCTGTCAAGTGTCATTAAAAGGCCGTTTTTACTGTCATTCGGAGAAAAATTAAATTTCTACCACCTCGACAGGTGTTAACCTGCTAGATTTGCTTAGCAGCATAGAAATCAAATTTCTGACATCTTGACAGGGGTTAACAAAGTGACGTTCTTCTGACGTTTGGAGAAAATTAAATTTTTACCACCTCGACAGGTGTTAACCCGCTGGATTTGCCTAGCA